CTTTATACTAGTCATAGGTGCCCTATAAGCCAATTACGTAAGTGATGACATATGTGATACGAAACACACTCTTTTTACTTATTATTTATTTAGTATTTTTTTTATTTTATGTTGCTTGTTACATATATTGTGATATCCATGAATCTATGTAATGAGAGTCGAATCATGATGAGATCAAGATAATAAGATCGATTCATCTTTAAATACACACTAAATAATTTTGATTATAAGTTACTCGAGAGAGACATCAAGATAGCCGGATAGATTGGTGTGCTATATACTCGTCTATAGGATGGAGGTGGTTGGTCTTATATTTGCTCATGTGGGGATAATAGGGATATAATACATGTGCTCATTGGAGAATGAGTTCACTAATTGATTCACTTATAGAATACTAGATGGTTGATAATACCTCATTGTCAGATAACGATATCATCTTTCTACTGGTATATCTGGTTCTTAGACTTGAGACACTAAGGATGTTCTGTATGAGTACTCCACTCTTTGATACTAAACTTATATGCTTGAAAGTTCCAAATCTAGCACAACCGGTTATCAAAAGTGGCATCAAACTTTATGAGAATAATTGAGTATTAATAGAGGATCATCCACTCTCAGAGTCATGAGAGGAATATCCTATGTATTCTTGCTTAGGCAAATTTCTAACCATAGTCATTTGGATTGAGAGAGAAAGGGTTCTCTGAGAGAATCCAATTAGAGCGGGACTTGAGTAAAAACCATATGGGCTTGATAGTACTATGGTCCGTATATATTCTCTAGGATATTAAATCGATGAGGGACTATAGATACATGATAATTGTAGATAAATATGTTCAATGAATTGGATTCTCCTGTATTGTATAGGCTTAGTATATCCATAATCGATGAGTCGAGTGAATTAATATGAAAATAATTTACTGAGCTACAAGAAGTTATAATAAGCATGACTCATGGCTAGCTCGATTTGGGCATAGAGGATCACAAACATATGGTAGGTATTACGACAAGTAGAGGTTCGAATATGAGATATCCGTTGGAACTTCTATCTTATTGGATATTCAATAATCGCATAGATTATTGGATCTTATGAATAAGATTCAATAAGAGCTAATAAGATATTATTGGGTAGAGATCCACTCATCTAAGAGACTTTAGTAGTTGGTTGAAGATCCAATATCGAATAGAGTAGAATTCATTAGGGTTAAGTTGACAAGGACCTCTATAAATAAGAGGGAACCAAATGTGCACTGGCTAGACCCTTTTTAGTTGCCACCTCCTATATGTCTCTCTCTCTCTCTCCTCCTTAGTTGACAACTCCAGTTAGGACGCATATGGATAGTAAAAAGGGCTAGCCCTTTCTTGATTATGTGGTGCACGTGGAGAGAATGATCATGCTGTAATTTGAGGAGTGTCTTTGCCACATCTGTCATATGGATCACTGCTAGAGAGGAGGACAATTGACCTCCTTCATCGTCTCTCACAAATATGTAGGTTTTCAAAAATATACGATCTTCCTAGTTAACATATTTTTTATATATATGTAGTTTTTGATTTTGTGGGTTTTTACGTACCAATCTTCGCATGACAATGAAAAACTTTTTCTGTGGGAAATCTAGGATTTTATTTTCTTTCTTCCATTGCGCATGTAATATTGGCCTAGGTTTCCCAACACCTTATGCTTTAATAATTAAAAGTCTAATGCACGTGATGATATGCAAGGCAAAACATTACATATGCAGTGGATGTTGCTATAAGATTTTTTACAAATCCAAACAAAGAACACTGTACAGTAATGAAGTGGATATTTAGACATCTCAGAGGGAGCTCTAAAGTTTGTTTAAGCTTTGGAGGTGGACCACCTATATTGATAGGTTACACAAATATAGATGTGATAAGAGATATTGATAGAAGGAAGTCCATATTAAGTTTTGTACTTATTTTTGCAAGGAGAGCTATGTCATGTTAATCCAAATTATAAAGGTATATTGCTCTCTCCACCACAGAGGCATAATATATTACTACTATAGAGGTTTACAAAAAAAAAAATTATGGATGAAAGAATTCTTATAAGAATTGAGGCTAAAATAGAAAAATTATGCGGTGCATTATGATAGTCAGAGCGTCATCCATTTGTGTAAGAATCTAATTTTTCATTCAAAGTCAAAGCATATAGATATCAGATACCACTGGATTGGAAATGTATTTAAAGAGAAGTAGTTATAATTTTAGAAAATCTACACAGATGATAATATGGTAGGCATATTGACAACGACCTTAGTGAAAGAAAGGCAAGAGATGTGCCAACCTTTGTTTAACATGGCTTCACATTGAGGAGTCATGAGGTAGCCTCCTTTATAGGCTGAAGGGGGAGGTTGTTGGGCACATGCTCATTAGTTTATCCCATAGCGGATTTTAATAACCCACAACCCATATTAACATTAAAACTCTAACTCTTTTAACTTAGGCTTTTAACTACTAGGGTTGAAAAAAAAAAAGAGGACAACGATGACTATGAATGTGGCTGAGAAAAAAGTAGTAGTAGCAATTGAGAGCAGAAGAAGAAAAGGAAAGAAGATAATGATAATATAATGGATGTTTTCAATCATCTAGGTAGTATTCTTATTGCAGGTTAGATTAGAATTATAGTGGATTCTTGCTATAATTACTTTGGAATATTTTGGATATTATGTATAATGATGTAATCCTTGTACCTTTGTTATTTTTTTGTAATTGTTGCTTGAGTTTTAGGTAAGAGATTCCTAGATTTATACGTTCATTATTTTTATAGTATATTTTCTCTAGCTTGTCTCATGATTTTTACCCTTTCTATTGGAGGAATTTTTCACATAAATCTTAGTATCATATTTTATTATGATTTTCATTTAATTCTGCTACATGTTATAGTTTGCTAGTATTTATTTATATATATATATTTTTTTTCCCCACAAATTTGCTACAAAAGGTCAATCAGTTGATTATGGTTGAGTTTTTATTAGTCAAGAAAAAGAAAATAGAAGGAAAGAAGCCAACGAAGAGTGAACATCCTTCTCGACCACCCCTCGATGATCGATCTCAAGGTACCTTGAAAAGAGTTGAAGTATACTTTTAAGTAAGAGAAAAGAGCATTTTATGGACACCTCAAGTGTCCACCTATAAAGAGAGATAAAAGGGCTCGATCTTGTGGTCATGAAATAGTGTTCCTATGACCATAAAACATTAGCAACAACAAAGATTAATATAAGAACCAAGAACATATATAAATTAAGCGTATATAAATTTGAGTGCTTAACATGACTAGCTACTTATGAGCTGCTTCAAGAATGGACTTCATGTCCCTTTTATACACTCCCTTCACCAAGTTTAGATCCATCACCCCCTAATTTTATTATATCGCTTATAGCATAATCTCCCATAGGTGAGAATTTACTAAGAGCCCCCATGTCAGATGAAGGGGGTCTACTGTGGGCTTGTGTGAATAGATTGAGCCTCGCATATGAGCATTTCTTGTTTAATCATGTAAAGTTCTTATATGGATAGGTGGGCTAAAGTATTGGGTTAGTTCAAGAAAGTTAATGAGCAATCCCCCATGGCCTCCCCACTAAAGGAGTTAGGGTGGACTCATTAGCTCCAATATCCGAAGGAATTACTCTTGGAAGAGCAACCTCACTTGTCGTCATGACATTAACCTCTTTAGAGAAGGAGGAAAATGAGATTAGTAAGGATCGAGAGAGGAGAGGGAATCGTGTTTGGTCTTACTTGAAGAGGTAGAAAAGTATCTCTTAAACATTTAAAGTTGAAGGAGGTTTAAATTTCACTAAGCTTTTTAGAGTTGAAAATATCTAAAAAGTTTGAGCACAAGATTCATAAGAGAGAATAAAATGTATCAAGGAAGTGCATCGTCTATTTATAGGGGCTAAATGAACTAAAACAATAATTCTCTCATAGTTAGAAGCCATCGAGTAATCATCAAAAATGATAGAAATAATTAAAACAATAATGACAAACCATACAAATGGATATGAATTGTCACAGTATTTATTACATAAACTAGAACCCAAAGTAACAAAAGCCAATGATATGCACATCACATCTAACAAAGAGGTATGCTGACATAGTCGACTTAGGTTATAAAGTATCCATCTATGATAATATAAATTGGTCACAAAACATCCATTTATGACGTTATGATTGAATCAATTATAAAACATTCATCTGTCGAAGCACCCATCTAAGATAACATGATAGAATTAACTATTAAAAGCTCATCAAAATAATACAACTAAAATGATCATAAAGTGTCCATATATGATGATGCAATTGAATCGACGACAAACACCTTTCAATAATGATATAATCATATCAGTTAGGAAGCATCCCAGTGACGATGCACTTGAATCGTTCATAGAACATTTATTTACAATAATGCAATTGAATCATCATCCCAAAAATATTCCTCGAATTCTTTGAACCCATTTCTTAAATATCAAGCATTCCCTCGACATAGTTTTATAGTATCATCAGTTGAATATTCAACTTTCTAATAGTATAATATATGACAAGTGCGGAAGTAAATCTCAATTAATTTTGAACTTTGTTTCGTGTTTAATAATTTGATTAGATAAATAAGTTATATTAAAATTTACAAGGATAAAAATATTGAAAGTTTTAATAATATTTTAGGTACTTTATTTTTAATTTTTTTTAAATCCAAACTATATATGAGTATCATGCTGCGTGATGGTCAATTTGAGTTATTTTGATGATGATGATTATATATATATATATATATATATTAAAGCTGTTATCTTATGAAATGTTTTCCCTCATTTCTTAACAGCTCTTATTAGCTATATATATATATATATATATATATATATATATATATATATATATATATATTAAAGCTGTTGTCTTATGGAATGTTTTCCCTCATTTCTTAACAGCTCTTATTAGCTATATATATATATATATATTAAAGCTGTTATCTTATGGAATGTTTCCCCTCATTTCTTAAAAGCTCTTATTAGCTATATTAGTTGCTTCGAATTGGGGCATTCCGAGTTCCGAGTCCCTTTTGTTGATTTCCCCGACGGGCGCCGCTCTGATCGCCATCGATGGATCGCGTGCAGCTGCTCCTCCTGGGGTTTCCTGTCTTCCTCTTCTTCTCCGACCTCGTCAATCTCTTCTCGACCTCACCGCCCCCGCCTCCTCTTAAGCCTTCCTCTCGCCTCCACCACCCCCACCCTCATCCCCACCCCCACCCCCACCCCCAACCCCACTCCTCTCCCTCCCATCACCAAACCGCCGATTTCCCCACCACGCCGCAGGTACCGGTTGTTACCATTCCCTCTTTTTTTCAGAACAGAAAATTTCTGTTATGGTACTTTTGATTCATAGGCGTCGCCATGTGTTTGACTCTGCAGAATCCGGAAGTCGGTGGACTTGGTTATGGCACCACGGTCGAGTTGAAATTCTGCGTTTCCTGCTCCTATAGGTATCAATTCTTCTCCTCTTTTAATTATTGCTCGACTCTGAACTGTTTCATCAATGTTGGATTTCGATAAAGATTCGATCTTGAAGCTTTTGTTGATAATAATATATTTACTCTGAGTTTTCTAGTGATTTTAATTACAAATATGGATTGAAGAAGCGGAAAAGATTGATATATTATTGAATGTTTTTCTGTTTGGTTACCAAACAACCAGTTAATATGATCATTGCTCATACGTTTACTTCCAACTATCTTTATGTAGATTTTACACTTCTCTGGACTCCTAGTTAACTGGTTTTAGCAAATGTAAGTACTGTTACAGATGAAATCAGTATTTTCATAAGTAGAATTATTGTACAACTAATGTCATATAATTTTCTTATCTGTAAGTCAAGAACAGAGATTTAGGCAAATTTGTACCTTCTTATCTGGTTTATTGAGTTGAGGGATGCTTCTATACCATTCCGTATGGCAGCTGGAAATTTAGCTTTGCGCTGGGAACTAGGTGGATTTGTCACCTTGCTCATTTGATTTCTGTCAGACATGCTGGGCAAATTCTTTCCCTTCTCCTAGATTGAATCAAGTCAGTAGATGTCTTGATCGGGTGGAATTATGGTTGCTGCATGTGACCTGAAGTTTTTCGTTAAGATATATGATTATCATCATAAATATTATTGAACAAACATAGGATAAGGATGGCTGCCGAGAGATTTTTGTATTTTATCTTGATAGAAGGAAGAAGTGGATAGGCTGCATGTTTATACTACTAGTTTGAACTTATATTACTTTCATCAGAAATATCTACCTGATTTTCTTTTTTCTTTCTGTATTCCCCATGCTTTCTTTTATTATAACTGCAGTCAAATTCATAAGTGCTGGTTCTGTTCTTTATTCCATTTTTGTGAGGAACATGTATTTCACTGTTTTCTTTCTTCTGATTGGGACTTCGAGTACTATCTTTGCTTCATTTGGTAATTGGCCTAAATTCTATGTTTGTTCTTTGAACATGAACTAGAATTCTAGCAGTAAGAGATCCTACAGCTTGTAAGTATTCTACATGGATTTACTCCGAAAAATGGTTTTTCAACTTGATGAAATACGAATGGCACTGATTATTTTATAACATGATTAACATATGATTCATCTCAGACTATGAGGAGTTTTCATTTGATATCACTTGGTAATATGAATATTTTATTTGCTTCAGGGGTACTGCAATGACAATGAAGAAAATGCTGGAAACTTCATTTCCTGGGATTGATGTGATATTGTCAAATTATCCCCCAGCCTTTCCAAAACGTGTACTGGGCAAAGTTGTCCCTGTTCTTCAAATAGGAGTTATTGCAATTATAACAGCAGGTGATCAGATATTCCCAAGGCTGGGCATGGCTCCGCCTCCGTGGTACTTCTCCTTGCGTGCCAATAGATTTGGTGCTATAGCATCGACTTGGCTTTTTGGCAATTTCTTGCAATCAACTCTGCAGAGTTCTGGTGCATTTGAGGTTTACTGTGATGGTGAATTGGTAAGAGATGTCTCTGACCCTTTAGAGTGTCTTTTGTGATTTCTTGTGCTGCCACATCATGATTCCACCTGTTGAATTGTATATTTTAAGCAACTATGGGATACTCCTGCTTTTATGTCCATTGCATTTGAGATGTACTCTGTTCATGTATAATCTATCTCAAAAGCATTTTAAATATTTCAAAAAACATATTGTTTGACCTGTTTTGTAAAATTTGAGCAACAATATGCAATGGCGAGAGTTGATCTTTACTCTCTTCATTGACAGAAGTATGGTGCATTGGACTTCTCTTTGGGATAATTTGTGAACATTTAGTTTTTTATATTTTCATTATTCGCTCTAATTACTGAAGAAAATAGGATGACCTTAGAAATTTACTTATATGATTTTTTTTTCAAACACATTTTTGTTACACATAAGCATGGAAGCATATATAGGTAGGTAGATCCATGCATGTAGTATGATAAAAAGAGCATAGACAAACATATATAGCATGTAGATATAAGCATTATTTGGTACATGCATATATATGCAATATAAGTTGGCCTTCTTTGAGCATATACATATGTGTGTGTTGTTGTGTTTTTCAATTCACTCTACAAGAAGGTTGTGATGTACTTCAACATATCTACGGTTCTATTGCTGAATTTTTATCTGCACTCTTACATGATAAAGTTGAATGTTACACAACTACCCTGGATTTGTTGTGTAATTAACATAGAAAGAAGTATGTTAGAGGATAATATATGGCTGCTGTGATAAAAACCAGCAGATGGTCTTGATCTGAATGACCCCACCTCACTGAAAGAAGAAATGAAGGCTGTTTAGAGAAAAATTAGGCTTCTATTCTACTAGTTTTAAGCAAAATGAAAAGACATTTTGCGTTTTGATTACAAGAAAATAAAGAAATAATGGTCCTGTGGCCTGAAATTAACATAAATTTAGTTTTTCAAATCCAACTACACCACCAGAAGGAAGAACATATGTTCCAATTGTACATGGTAGACAGTGTCTTCCAATTATTGAGTGTTGGATCAAAATATGGACAAAAGGATATTTTGTACCTCACCAATAGTGGTGCTAATTGGGTGTTCATGTAGGAAAGGATCCTAGCAAGGGTATTCTGAAAACATGATTCATGATATCTGTCACAGAGGTACCTAGGTGCTGGCTTTAATATTAAGATATTGCCATCTGAATAATACCTGCCATGCTGCATATTTTTTGTGGCAAAGTTTTGTTATGTTCAGATTCAACCATATTCGACCTCACATGACTCAAGCTTGCCATAATCACAGGAATAACATGTCCTGTAGTTCAGATTTGCTAAAACATTAATTGCTCCATGTAAGAATTTGACCTGCTGTTTTGGTCTATTTGATCTACTGTCATGTAGATGCAGACAGTTCCTGACCAGTGTTAGGCCTCATCTGCAATTGCATGATAAAAATAATATATTTTCTTTCTGCAACCACTTTGTGTTGTTTAGTTATAGTATAATAACTTTAAAACATTATTTGGCTTTGTGTTAACTGAGATTCTTTGAGTTGCTTAGTGAGTAACAAGCTCAATTATTTTTCTGAATAGACAATAACAAATTGTTTATGAGGTAATTGTTCTATAATACATGGTTGATCTTTTGGCAAATTATAATGCAAAACATCATTCACGAATTAGCTTATCTGAGCACTGATTTCTTTTGAGTATTCGGTGATTGATCATTGAGATTGGTCAGTAACCAATTACCAGCTCCATAAAATCCTGCTGGTGATCACATCAATGGAGAAAAGGAAATGATGGAAAAAGAAGGGGGAGAAAAGGAGAGAGGGAAGAAAACAAGGGGAGATATACTTACCTGAGCTACCATTGCTAGATTATTTGGTTGTTGGATGCCACTTGTAGGCTGCAATTGTCCCACAAACATTTCTCACTAGCTGTTGCTACTTAGATGTTGCTTGTTGATGAAAGAGAGAGGGAAAGTGAGAACATGGAAGAGGTCACAATTTTTTTTATGAGGGAGAGGAGAAAACCCTTGACCCACAACTCCTTTTCCCATATATTATTTTATAAAAATATAATATTAATAAGGGTGAATTCTTGGAAAAAGCCCATAAGTATGAGAAAATTTCAAATAGTATCCAAATTTAAAAAAAATTCCCACAGAGCATTCTTTTTTCAAAATGATCATTCTGCCCCCATTGGACATTGCATCTCTGCCCTGCCAGTTGCTCCCTCCCATTGGGACTTGCCCAGTGATGGAAGTGCAACCTCTGTGGCCCCTCCACGGCCAACAATGGAGGCTGAGGGCTAGAGCAGCCCCCCCCTCCCTTTGCCTACAGCAGATGGCGAGGAGGGGCTATAGGCAATAGCGAGGGTGTGCCCCCTCCTTCCTCGCTGGTGGTGGACAGCAAGGAGGTACACAACCAGCGATGGAGGCCACGGGCGAGGGTGGGTTGCAACCCCTCCCCTTTCCCACCCCCCCCCCCCCCCGTCCCATGCTTTCTCGCATTGTCATGGACTTAGCTGGTTTTGCTTAAGTCGTGCGGTACCCTTACGAGTCCGTCCGCAGAGGTCAACCTCCCCGAAACCTCCCATGGTCCCTTAGGACCTACAAAAGAGAAAACGGGCTAGAGAAAGCGCCTTACTCGGGATCCACAAACAATTATTTCAGTAAACACTTCATAACCAATGCAAATTACAAACAAACTTTACAAGCTCTGAACGGTTGCACAACAAAGGATCCAAATGGTCTACTACAGATCGAAATCTCTCACAAGTGTCCACATGATACAACCTTTATTTACAAGCCTAAAAAGGCCACCAAACCCAACTAAATTGGGGCTGTTAAGCCTTCGACCGTCCCTCTGCATACTGTACAAAACATGAATAAACCAAAAGACACGGAAATACATGAGCATTACATTAAACACCCTGTTTATAATTTTGTCCGTGATATTCTCCCCCATTTATTCCTTCGACGTCCTCGTCAAAGCTTTTGCCGACACGGCAACTCCTCGCCTTTGCTGAGTCTTCAATCTTCTGCTCCAGCTACAATGCACCTCTTGTTTCTTAGCTGCTCTCTGCTGTTGTTGTTGAGTAGTCAAACTTTTGATCCGCCATGCTGTTTCAATTTGTTAATGACTTTGACTCTAGTGTGGGGTTGGCTGAGTTGTGTTGATCCTTGTTGGTTCCTGCGGATCCTTCAGATGAAGGAAAAGACCATCCTTGGTATGTGCTAGTCTTTCAAATGCCTCATGTTGTTTGAACTGGGTGGATGCATGTTGGAGCTTTAACGAGCATCACCTCGTAAACTTTTAAAGTTTTTTGGTCCTTCCTCCACAAAATTTGTCTATCGATTCTTCTTTTCACTTAGTTGTCACTTCCAAGTAGGTTCGCATCACTTCCGCTTTCGATTGGTATTCTGTTGGGAAATGAAGTGGATAATCTACTCTCAGTAGCACTGATCACCATTGGTGAGGATTTGACAACTATTGTCTTTAATTCGATTTCTTCGAAGGGTCTTTGAACCTGTGCAGAGCTCCTCTGCTAGATATATATAAGAGAATTATGGTACTCGGTTTTGTCCATTCTCTTAAGAGTTGAGAAAGCAAAGGTTACTTAACTTTACCCGTCTCCTTGAGGGTTATACTCCATGCATCGAGCTGGTTACTAGCTTTCGCCCGCTCTTTGCTCATACTTCTGAAGCACTTGAAGTGTTTTCACTCCTTGCGTTGAGTTAGCTACTGTGATTCACCTTCTCAATGCTATCGAACTTCTAGAATGCAAGAAGTTTTCACCTCAACTTGGAGCAAGTCTCTAGTAGTTTTGGTCGCCTTTAGGATTGTATCGTCTTCTCCATCATCTCTATCGCCTACTCCATTGAACAGCAAAGGTACAAGATCGCATACTGCTTGCTTCGTTCCTTGGTCGTGCACTCTTGCATCGACCTAAAGACCTTTACTTTCGGCTATCTTTAATGAGAAGCTCGTTGACACCGGTCTTACTAAGTTCTCTGGCCTTTGTCCTTTAGCCTTGTCTCGGTACTTGGAGTTTGTCTCTGCATTCTCCACCTCCTTGGCCCCTTTCACGACCAAGCGTTCTCTCTACAGTACTATGGCGCTGCCATGCCCATGGCCCTACTACCCGTCGCCTCACATTTGCATCACTTTCTTCACGATCGGTAGATCTGCGTTTTGGCACTATGGCACTCCTCCGAGTCCACCTCCCTTCTAACCGATGGTTGGTTTTGGGTAGCTAAGTCCTTTTGGACTCGTCGTCGCTTCCTCGCCCCTTTCGACCCCTTGCTTCAACACCTCTATGTTCTCCAAGCAGTTTCCCTTGGTCGATGGAAAGACAGACTGTAACTCCCATGCATGGCCTCTGCCATCATGTTGTAGGGTTTGCATCGATTCTGTTCTCCTTAGCTTCCTTGGTAGCAACGTTCACTTACTCAGCCTTGTCCTCTGACTTACCGGGCGCCCTTAAGCGAATATGAGCTCTAGAGCAGTTCAACTCTCCAACCACTTCGATCATACTTTTGCATGATCAAGTCTCCCCCATGGGACTCACTGGTACTTGCATTCGAACTTTTTCCTCGGTGGTACATAGCCCCCATGTGCTGATGACCAAGGCTTTCATCCGATACAATATTCGATGCACGCACGGAAGACCCGCCTCTGCGATACCATGACATTCACTCCTTGAATCTATAACCTTTTTTACCGTCGTGTTGTTCATCAAAGTGGAGCTCTCGGTAGCTCTCGATCATACCTCCGTATGATATAGTCCCTCACGGGATAATATTCGTGTGTATTATATTGCCACAAACTGTTCCACCATGATCCACTGCACCATGTCGCCTCTTGGTGACATCTTCATTGTATTCTGATCCTTGTGGGATGAACTCGGATTGTGATCCCTCTATGTGTGGCCTCTGCCAACACATTGCAGGGCCTCTTCCACTTTCGATTGTGTTCGCTCCTTTGGCAATCGACCTTCGTCCACCCGCTCTTGGGTCACACCTAGACAAAGCACCACTCTAGGACAATCCGTCACCTAGTAGCTCCCGAAGTCCACCGACTTTGCTGAAATTGTTGCACTATTATCTGGATCCTGGGCCTCTGCCCCTACCAGCACAATCTCCATTGCACACCGCTCCCTTCATGACAACTTGAATAGCAGCACTGTGGCATAATCTTCAAGAGTACCCGCCTCCGCGTCCTCTTGCCCCGTGTCAAGGCCTTCTGAACCCAACTTCGCCTCCGCAAGTTAAGTCGCCTCAGTTCCTCCGTCAAATGCTTCTCTGAGGTAAGGTGCATGTGTCTCGAAGCTCCCTTCATCTTTTGACAACATGTAGAATGAGCCAACTCTATCAGAATGAGGGATCCATGGAACGACATGATCTCGCTCTTGCCTCTGAAAGAGTTCATGTCCTTGACCTCTGTCCAAGGAAAACTCTGTGCCTCTGCTCTATATTCCATCTTCTATGTCGGCTCCCTTCATGCGGCTTGGGTACTTCGCCAAGTTATACCCAAGTTGCTTCGCTCCTCGTTTTTGCATTAAGTTGATGGTGGCCCTCGTGCCCACCATTTCACGGGTCAACCCTCCATTGAGTCTGATCTCCATATCGATACCAAGTGTGACTTCATTTGTGTTGCCTTGGATCGCTTCCCCACTTGATCTCGCAATACATCCCTCAATGCATTATCCCAAGCGAGATCATGCGACGACTCCTCACCGCTCGCTTGGTCCGTTAAACTTTGTGAAGTTAATTTTTTTTTTAGGTACTCCTCAACAAACTGTGTATTGTTTTGCCTCCTGCAAATGCACTTGCTAGATCGCGACTCCACGTCAATACAGCCCTCGTTGCACCCCTCAAGGCCTAGCAACATGTTGAACTCGCTGCACACTTCAGCCTACTATGAACGTATCCTTCTCATGCTGAAGAGAAAGTTTCAATGTTCCATGGCACCGAGTTTCGATCGCCTTGGGATGGCCATGAACACTCCATCGTTCGTATACAAGCCTTTGCATGAGCACCGAATTCTTCGAGTTAGCAATTCCCCTCACCTTTGTGAGCTTTGCATAACTCATTCAGTCGTTGAACAACCCATTCCACCTTACATGGTCTCATCCTTTATCAATCGCCCCGCTTGCCTTTAGCACCATCAAGTATGGTTGCCAACGTTGAGCCGTAGCTCAAACTCAGCCATCCCAACCTTTGTGCGCCACGCATTCTTCCTAGCTTGCTTGTCCTCGTGGTGCCTCTTGCGCGAAGGGTTGGTCATTCCTTTGAATGTCAATCTCAGATGCCCGCTCCTTTGAGCGACTCATTTTCCCTACATCTCCATGCCCACTTTCCCCTAAACGGTCGCGCGTGCTGGCTGCCCTCAACACAGCCCCACTAGGTCCTCCACGTTTGCATGCCAAGTGTTTCTATGAGTGCTTGTCCCGCTCCAATACCATATGTCACGGACTTGATTGGTTTTGCCTTAAGTCGTGCGACACCCTTGCGAGTCCGTCCGCAAAGGTCAGCCTCTCCGAAACCTCCCATGGTCCCTTGGGACCTACAAAAGAGAAATCGGGTTAGAGAAAGCGCCTCACTCGAGATCTACAAGCAATCATTTCGGTAAACATTTCATAACTAATGCAAATTACAAACAGACTTTACAAGCTCCGAATGATTGCATAACAAAGGGTCCAAATGGTTCACTACAGATCGAAATATCTCACAAGTGTCCACATGATACAACCTTTATTTACAAGCCTAAAATGGCCACCAAACACAAACTAATTAGGGCTGTTAAGCCTTCGATCATCCCTCTGTATGTTGTACAAAGCATGAACAAACTAAAAGACACGGACATACATGAGCATTACATTAAACACCCTATTTACAATTTTGTTCGTGACAGCACAACAGATGGCAAGGTGGGGCTATGAGCGACGATTGTCTAGCAGAAGAGGTGGTGAGTCCGATCGAGGCAAGGGTAAAATGATCTTTTCACATGACCAGGGGCACCTTGTGGGAACTTTTTAAAGTTGGGGCGCTCTGTGGGAAATTCTCAAACTTAAGGCCTTTTTTTTAGAATTTACCCTATTAATAAATGACTAAAAATGAATATTTATTGTATATATAACTTTTTACTATTCTTAGGCTTTTTATAATATTATTTTTTGGATCTGGATCGATCGGACCAATCACAGATCCCAGGACTGCTCTCATTTTGGAATCATGCAAACCATGGTTCATTAATTGGAAAGTCAGTTTGAGAGTGTTTTTCTTTATTATTAGATCATATAGAAAACCTTTTGACCATGCATCTTCCAGAGTGAGGATAGTTGTCTTTTTGTGAATTCAACTTGTGACTTGCTTAATGATCTTTCTTTGCGAGTTCCTATCCAGAAAGTAAGACAATATGATGTAAACTATGTGAAACCTGGTTCAAGATATCATGTCAAAAGTTCAATCTGCCAAAGATTTAACTTGAAAACTTGGAGATGAGAATAACTGTAGTGTATGGTATGTGATTTTGTTGCCTATCTGATTTCAAAATACCTTTGAAGTTCGAAATACATTGAATGAAAGCAATCATGATTTTTTTTGCAGGCATGGATTAATAATCTGTACAACAATTGATAAACTTATCTGACATTTTATTTCTTGCAAGTGTCATTTCTTTGCTGCTTGATTATTCTACATATATGTTTTTGGTTTCCTTATTGTAGGTTTTCTCCAAACTAAAGGAGCAGAGATTCCCTAGCGAGTTTGAGTTGAGGGAATTAATCGGTAAGAGAATACCTGATTCTGCATTTGGGAAGAACCTTGGAAGCGTTTGGTCTTAATTTACAGGCAATCCTTTCCGCCATGTTAGCAACTCTGAAGGGTGTGTTTTAAGCCATGCAAACTAATTTCATCATCCGATGGATCCCTGCCATGTTTCTACTTTTCAAGTATCAAACTCCAATATGCATGTCTATCACTTGAAACATATAAAACATGATTAGATTGTCACTTTATTCACACTATGTTGCTGTGTTCTATTTCTTTTACCGTATGATGCTATATTCATGTCATGCTATTTCTTTTACCATATGTTGCTGTGTTACGGCTTTTTTGTTGTTGTTGTTATTGTTGTTGAGTTAGTTTCGTGACATTGAGAAGCACTCATAATTAATTTTTTGACATTGATTCATGTCTTATTCTCTTAAAATTAAAACATTACTATAAATATCTTTTTTCATAAGCCATTACCCAGAAGATCCCCTCAAGAGATTTCCAGTTCCTTGTCGATAAATCCACTTCAACACACTTGCGGTGAACAAACACTGTCCAAGTACAAAGATTTCGAATCCATCCTTAGGGCTCTACCTAAAACAGTTGCAATGCCAAGATTGAGAACTGTATCCAAACAAGGTCTTCATTAATAGTCCACGGACCTTTCCTAATTTAGAAAGACATGATGTGTAGATTCGCTGGGTTGGATTCGGAGCAGGTGCGGGCGTTTCGAGCGAGCACTAAATTTGGATGTTTGACTTGGACTGGTCAGAGTCTGAAGAATCTTTCTTGCCAATTAACATAATATGAACCATTAAGGTGGAATAGATTAGTCATGAAATTTAGGAGATCAATACGGAAGGTCTTAATCTTATAGAAAAAATTATTATTTTTGTCACGGAAATTATGATCACCCAAATATGACTGTTGTAATTCATATTTGGATCTGCTCTTCTTTTATCGGGTTCGGATCCTTCGCGTTCTAATTCGATCCGATCCGATGTGAGCCACAGAGCGTGAATCTTTCTTGTCGCTTGACCATTACAAATCATTATGTGCTCACGGCGTCTTCGAGTCCGCGGTGCTGTTCAACCCTCCTCGCTTTCCGCAGGGATCGCTCGCGCAGGTACCGCTGCAGTGGATCGTGGCCCCTTCCGTGTCCCCTTTTTCTTTCTCCTCTTTTGGGTGGGAGCGGCCTGATTCGCCCCCCCTCCCCTTTTTCCTTCTTATTCCCCCAGGAATCACCGCTGAATCCTGATTTTTCGTCGAAAGATTCGCTCTTTGGTCGTTCCACGAAACAAAAAAAAAATCTCATTTTGGTGGAAAGAATTTGTTTCTTTGAGTTCCGATCTTCCAATAAGCACTCTATTGACTCCAGTTTAGATTCGAGTGTTTGATGTTTGATTTGAAGGAGAGAAAGTGCGGGCTTTTGTGACCTGGTTTGTGTATATTGTGTTTTTCTCTTCCTACATCTGTCTTGGAATTCCAGATATAGTTGGGTGAATCTTGGATTTGTTTGTAGTTCGTCTAATTTGTGTTGCTGTAGAGTTTTGTGTGATCCTTTGCTTGTGTACTCTTAAGAAGAATTTTCTTGCTTGAGGTTTTTGTTCTATCTAATTCGTTTTCTGTCTTTTCAATAATTTTGTTCCCGAATTTGTAAACCCTAAATCTGCTAGTTAATGATGTATTTTTGTTCTGGTTTTTTCCATCCCTGCTGTAGTCTGCTTCGAATTGATTGTGCCTTTGATTTATTTTTTCTTTTAACAAAACCAAATGCAAAGCATATCTTCACAGTTATGGCATGCCAGCAAGGTTGGATGGGATGGGATGGGATGTAATGTGTAGGAACGTATGTAGGAATGCAGTATATGTAGGAATGTATTGTCATGCCATAAATTATCTGTATTGTATTGCTCATTTAGGTTGAGACCTACAATTTCCTTACAGTTGAGATACAATATCAATTCCAAACACAATGATCTTTCAAGTGGCCGAAGTTTTAAGTTGCAATTGCTTGATAATATATTTGTTGGGCTTCATTACGAAATAAATATGGCTTTGATTATTTTAGTACATGTAACAAGAATTCCAATTCTTATCTCAAGGAATCCATCGGCCTAATGGACTCTAGCTGTGGAGCTATGCTAGCCTGTCATTTTCTGAAAGAAGTCATATTGTCTATTATTTTATTATTTTGAGGAAGAAAGCTTATGATGCACTATTTTCATACCTAGATATATTTGGTTCCTCTCTAGTTGATGTCAAGGGATAGCACACAAGTATGCATGGTTATTTTGGTCAGTCAGTTTCGAGTCACCACAGATCATATTAGGTGCCTGTCTTATGAGCTTTTGTATGAAATTTAGTATATGTCTTATGTGTTCTTAGCAGAAACCTGTGCAGATTTTGTCCATTCATGTTCTTGTAGATGGGCATGCCTATTGAAGCTGTATCTAAGGATTAATGTGCATTTCTTGAGAAGGTTCATCCACATGCATAACTAGCAGCGTCTTTAGTTGTCGAGTTATGTGTAATATTTTTACATATGCCTATCTGAAGCTGTTGGTGTCATTTTTGTTGTAACGTGCTCCATAATGCATATTCTTTTATCTTCTTAGACCTACTGAGCTAAAGTTAGGATGTGGCCAAACCCTCTACTTTCCAGTTCTCATTTGGTCCAGGTTTGCCTACTTGACCATAAATGGGCTAAAATAGGGTCAATTATTCATGGCTCTGCCTGGCAACCTGTTGACCCTTCAATTCATCAGCCCGGTGGAGCTTAACAAGACTTTAATCCGGTACAAATTTTGTCCAGCTTACCTCCAGCATTCCTTTGTGTAAAGGATGACTATACATAGTTTTGGAGAAGGGTGTGTACCTTTTCCACCATTGGAAGAGAGTGAACAGCTGAACCCCCCCGGGAATGGGTGTGGAAAATGACCTTCCCAAATCAACTCCTAGTCAAGAAAGAAGAGAGTTGGCCGATTATCCTCACTAAGAACTTCTAGTAGTAAACTTTTTTTTTGTATAATAAATTTACTGACTTTTGTCAATATTTATAGTAACTAATTTAGTTGGTCAAAATAGATCTAATTTATGTCTAATTATTTTTGAGTCTCAGTATGAGTATATGATATGTAGCCAAATTATTTTATTATTAAGATATGCATTTTAAGGGTTTTAGGTGCCCTTTCTAGTGGGTTTTGGCAAAGTGACGAGATTAACTTTTCTCACAAACCCCTATATTTATTAGAAATCCATAAGCCTAAGGACTCATGTTTGGATGCAATTTTATTTTCTTTTTGAATAAAATTATATTAGTTATTGAGTTCTCTAATTGATAGCTTGGAAGGTCCTCTCCTCCTTGTATTGGAGAAACACTTGTTCGGAACACTATCTCTAACAATTAAATGTACTAGTTCTAATGGGGAGCATCTAATATCTATAGTCATCCAATTTCTGTATTGTTTAGTGTGTTTTTTTTTTCACTTTCGGTAGCTGTCATGGAAGGTGATGCTATTTTACAATTTTTATTTTCCCTTGAATCCTTCTGCAACTTTAGTATCCTAACAGTTGTTTCTTGGCTGTCAGATGGAAGCACAGAGTTCCCATTCCTCGCAGATCATTGATATTAATTTAGATTTGCCAGGGGATGAACCTAGCATAAACCGTAACAAGATATGTAGTGGCAGTGCATGTGGTTTCTCTGATTCCCGATCAAACTCAAAAGATGCCCAAGAGAGATTCACTTCTATGCGCAAGCTACTAATAGCTGTTGTCCTATGCATCATTTTCATGTCCGTTGAAGTTGTTGGAGGTATTAAAGCAAACAGTCTTGCAATTCTGACTGATGCGACACATCTCCTCTCCGATGTTGCTGCTTTTGCCATCTCATTATTCTCCATATGGGCATCAGGATGGGAAGCAACACCACGTCAATCTTATGGCTTCTTCCGTATAGAAATTCTTGGAGCTCTGGTGTCTATCCAGCTTATTTGGCTCTTAACTGGCATCCTAGTTTTTGAAGCTATTGCAAGATTGCTCCATGACACAGGTGAAGTGCAAGGTGTCTTGATGTTTATTGTATCAGCCTTTGGTTTGGTTGTTAATATTGTTATGGCTGTCTTGCTTGGACATGACCATGGCCATGGCCACGGCCATGGTGGGCATGATCATGGTCATGGCAGCCATGGTGATGGTCATGATGAGCATGGCCACGTTCACAGTCATGTAAACCATGGTCACACTCATCATCATGATGATCACGATCATGATCACGAACATGATGCAGAGCATGGTCATAGCCATGCCACTGGCCACAATCATGCAGAGGATTCCAGAAACAAGGAACATCTTAAACCTCTGCTGCACCAATCTGAAGAAGCCCCAGCCAGCAGAGAAGATGCTAAAGAGAAAACAAGAAACATTAATGTGCATAGTGCCTATCTCCACGTCCTTGGTGACTCCGTCCAGAGCATAGGCGTGATGATCGGAGGGGCAATAATATGGTGGAAGCCTGAATGGAAGATAATCGATATGTTATGCACGCTTGTCTTTTCTGTCATCGTTCTGGTAACAACGATCAAGATGCTTAGGGACATACTTGAGGTCTTGATGGAGAGCACCCCACGGCAAATCGATGCAACCAAACTTGAACAGGGGCTTTGTCAGTTGGATGGTGTTGTGGCCATTCATGAGCTGCACATATGGGCAATCACTGTAGGGAAGGTTCTTCTAGCATGCCATGTGACGATCACTCAAGAAGCAGATGCTGATCTTGTACTCGATATGGTGATTGGGTATATCAAAAGGGAGTATAACATCAGTCACGTAACCATCCAAATAGAACGGCAATAGATCCAGTTGTGGCTGACTGCTGCTAGTGCTAGCTAGTTTCCATTTCATGTTCATTCTTCCATTGCTTCAATCGGCTATTATTGTCTTTTGCTTATGCTCCTTCCTGTGGTGATGTCAAACTGCAACTGATTCAAGAGTTAGATGGTTTGGATGGTTCTGTGGTACATCTCTGGCTGGTATCTACTGCAAGTTATTCCAAAGTGCAGCCTTTTTTGTATCTCATGCCATCTATCATGTGGTAGTTGGTTGACTTCCCATTTTCAGCCGAATTTTGTATATGTAGCAAGAACATCATGTCAGTTTGTGCTGTAAAATGTGGTTCATCATTCCTGCAAAGACAATGCCTTAATGTGGTTCATAGTACTTTTTCTTGATGCTGTCAAGATGTCACATATGCGTTGATATACTCATTATCTATTTCTTGATCCTGAATCTTACATAGATCTACTTGACTCACTTTCTCAGTTAAAGCAGGCATGTAACTTTGTTAGATTGTAGGAAGTGAAATAACTTTGTTGCTGTGATTGAAGCTGACTGACTCAATAGTACTGTGGTGATCTGATCATTGATCTAAATGGAGTAGAATCTTGTTGGGCTCAGTCTCTAACCATTCGATTATTTTGTTGGTAGCAACTTAATTTTGAGATGGTACAGATCCAACATGCTAAAGCTCTGTCCTTTTAATTCTGTTCTCTTTGCATGTTGGGACATTAGCTGGGAATCTATTTCTTTCAGACAAGTTGTCCTCATGCTATATAATTCTCATTGTGACCTCTGATACGTCCACATCTGTTTCCTTCTCCCAATTGCTCGTCACTGGTTGTCTTTTTCATTACAGATAATATTCATTTCTTTATTAAAGTGTGCCAATTTTTTGTCAGTAGTAATCCTTTTTTAATACAAATAATAATATTTATATTTTTTTTTAGTGGTATTTATTTTTTTATACAAATAATATTCATTTCTTTATTTTAAATATGCCAAATTCTTGTCCATGGTAGTCTTTTTTATATTAATAATATTTTTTATTAAAATATATTAATTATTTACTAGAAATGACATTATATTATGTTTTTTTATTATCATTGTTCGTAGGTTATAATAATATTATATTTTTATTTGAGCCATTTGCACTGCCTTCAAGTAACTTTATATTATTTTTATTATGATGATCAATATATTATAATAAATTAATTTTTAATTTTTATTTGGGTGTTGTAATTTTTAACTTATTATAAATGTCTATTTGATCAATATATGTTTTTATTTTATTTGACTCATTTATAATAATTTATTATAGTTAATTTGTTAGAGATAATTTAAATAATTTTTAAATTATGAATTTTTTTAATTTCGAAACTGAAATTATGCATAAAAAAAAAATTCGTCACTCATTTTAATCCGCCGATATAATTCTTGACGCAGCCGTACATCGTCGCCGTCCGTTTGTGACGGCTCGCCGTGATTGATCGCATGACGATCGTTTATGCGTCCCCATTTATTACTTCTGTTCATCTCGTCCGCCCAAATTCTTCTACAAATCACGACACCGCAATCGAACGGCTCAAAACACCCACCGGTGCAACACGGACGGCAGATGTGGCTCCACCCGTGGAATCTTCCCCAAGATGTTGGCGCTCCTTCTCCAACTCACCACCGCGTCTCTCCCCTCCGTTCCTATATAGCGTCTAAACCCTAATCGGCGGTCTCGATTCGGTCCATTCCATTTCCATTTCCCTTGGGATTCATCTCGTTGTTGATCGGAATTCCATGGCGAGCAACGAACCCGATCGCGAGGAGGAGGCGGCTGCAGCCGGCGAGGACGAGGACACCGGTGCCCAGGTCGCACCCATCGTCACCCTCTCCGAGGTCGCCGTCACCACCGGCGAGGAGGAAGAGGACGCCCTACTCGATCTGTAAGCATTTCCTTTGATCCGAACCGTCCCTCTGGTTTTCTTGGCGATCTCGAGGTCTGATTTGCTCGTTTGATCTCTTCGTGCTCGTCCGCCTGCCGCTGCCAGAAAGGCGAAGCTGTACCGGTTCGACAAGGAGGGGAACCAGTGGAAGGAGCGGGGAACCGGGAGCGTGAAGCTTTTGAAGCATCGGGAGTCGGGCAAGGTGCGGCTGCTGATGCGCCAGGTCAAGACCCTCAAGATCTGCGCTAACCATCTCGGTAGGGCACTCCGCCCCGTTCTTGATTCTGGTTCTTAGTTGTTATTGGTCTGTATCTGAAGTCTCCCTTTCTCGATTTCCGTCTCAGTTCTTCCGTCGGTCAAGATTCAGGAGCACGCCGGGAACGACAAGTCGTGCGTGTGGCATGCGTCGGATTTCGCCGATGGGGAATTGAAGGAGGAGATGTTCTGCATACGATTCGGCTCCGTAGAAAGTGAGCATCTTTTATCCTTTTCCTAAATTTATGTAAAGCCTCTCTGCCATTCCTACTTTAGTTCGTTGACTAATACTTTTATGTAACATAGTAATTGTGAAGTATGAGTATTATTCACTAGTTTTAGTGTCTATCCCAGTAGTTTTAGTGTCATTCCCTCTCTGCCATTCCCTCTTGTGCTTCTATCCCAGTAGTTTTAGTGTCTATTTGATGTAATAAGGGATGATGAGCATGTTGGTTCTTCAATTCACTGTTGTCCATTTATGTTCCTGTGATTGTGACCCCAATCCTTATTGTCATTTGTTTATCCAAAGCCCCAACTGAAATAGATTATTTTATTATTCATCTTCCTTCATATTATTTATCACTATACTGCTTACAAGCCCAAGCCCTTGTGTGAACTATTTCAACTTCAATGGAAGCGGTGTCTGTAACTCTGTGCGCTCATTGTTGTTGCACCTTTAGTATGTCATGGTCCGCGATTGATGCCATTGGTCAGAGTAACTTTTTAGAAGGGAGTGTGTGGGACTGACTGTCTTGTTTGTTAAAGTGCTTGCTCACAGATTTCTTGGCTGGAAGGGTTCAGATAAGTGTACCATAGGGTTAATCTTCCTTCATCCTTCTGAAACTACTGCTGATGTAGTCTGCTTTTTTTTCTTTTTTACTTGCTTTTAGCACATGAACGTCCAATCTTTATACAAATGTCAATTCTGGTGTTTCTAAGAACTTGATCAAGTGTTGTGAACTTGTGGTCGCATGCATGAGTCTCTTTCTATGGCTTTCACTTTCCATCTTCATTCGTGCGTGTCCTATGATGTTTACTGAAAGTGAAGGACAATTTTAGATCCTTCCATTAGGTTCATTTGATTTTACCATCTATAATTCTTGACATTGTTTTATGCCTGATGTTGCTTTGTAATGTGGAGCTGTTACTAGATTTAGTGGTACTTATAGGCAAATTTTCTTCCTACTAATAGCAGAGTTAGTAGTGTTAGGGACAGTTTTTTGAATGAGGGGTGATTGCTGTTTTAGTTTTCTCTCCATTGGAGAGGAGCAAAATGATCTGTGACATGAATGGAATTGTTAAGAACGAGAATTAAAAGACTCTGGTATAGACAAACTGCAGGATGGACTTCTCGATGTTGATAGGGTCTGAAATAAGGTTTAGATCTGAAAATTAATTGAATATCTGATGGAAGGTTCATATTATGTGCACAAAAAATCTGGTAATTGAGAAAAGCTATGATCTGATAATCAGTCTTAGATGTCATCGCAGTGCAAATCTTTGAGCCCGAAGGGCATAATGAATCGATCAAAGAGAGTATTTGGAAGATAGGGAAAAATTTTAGAAAACTGGAAAACAAAATCGTGGTTTCCTCTCATGCTGCAACTCGTTTGAAGCCTTAATCTTTTTAACAAGGCCGTATAGATTTTGTGGTTTTCATTCCCCTTTTTTTTCATTTTCTATTGATTTCTTTTCCTTTTGCTCTTTTTCATGATGAAATGGTTGTAGATGCTAGACAATTACATATTGTTTGTGATGATGTGTTACCGTGTGCTACACCACCATAAAAGGATTGTCAAGCTTTGTCCTGTGTTAATTATTTTAATTGTTATACCATATGTCATGTATATAGCACGCATGTACTTTTACGTAGATATGTTTGATTATAGATTATTCTGGTCAAGCCAATGGAATTGTTTTCTTCTTTGTCATATGATCATTGCTTCAAGGAATTCCCTTCAACTGAAGAAACTTTGTTGAACTATGGAGGTTGAACCGGACAAGCATGTGCTGTGCAATGATAGCATAAAGTTTTGAACGCGTAGTATAAACCAAATACTTTACTGGTTTGCCTCAATGAGTCAAAGGTCAAACTCGAGAAGCATGATAATAGCACATATGTCTGAATGATTCTTGTTATTAACCAAATATTTGTCTGGTTTGCATAAATAATTTTGATGGGCAAGCTGGATAAGTATTTAGGATATGTTTAGTCTTAACCAATCACTTAGATTTTGCAATCTTTGAACATTCAGCTTCACAAGATATTGTGTCCAATTAGTAGAAAATCGACATAAATATTCGTGTGCACAGACAGACCTTAATGATGACCATACTGAACAAAATCTTGTGTATTATCAAACCTCGTGCTATCTCTGATGTATCATTAGCTGTGCCTATTAATAGTCATCAAAATTGCAGTGACATCTCCCCCTTCTACTGACCCTCGATTTGCTCTTCTACTATAGACTGCAAGAAATTCATGGAGACGGTCGAAGGCATTGCTGAATCTTCTGAAAACAACGAAGAGAAGGAGAGCAAGGATGCGTCAGACGCTGCTGGACTCCTGGACAAGTTAAGTGTGCATGAAAGCAAAACCGAAAAGGCTCCAGAGGAGGTTCCAGCTGCTGCTGTGAAGGCAGACAATGAAACCGAAAAGTAGGCAGCGGAAACAAAACCCGAGGAACCTTCGAAGTCTTAAGGATATTTGTGTTGGCCTATCTACGTAGAGTTTGTCATGTTCATTGTTTCCAGGGACAACAGAGCAAAGATTTGGGTAGCAGTGTCCATTTCAATGTTTGGAGGCAGTGTGGGGGTCAGGTGGGTAGAGTTGTTGCTCTTGCATTTGGGACGAGTGGCGAATTGTGTCATGCTGCAGATGTATTCCTTGTCGATTGGTTTCAATTGATTCTGATGGTTTTCTTGTTTTCGTTGCACTGTTGGAATATGTTTTAGAGGATCCACTTAGATTCTCCCACCGCGAGTATGACTTGTCAGCTTTCCTACCCGGACGTGGTGATATGGTGGTTGATGATGAGTGCGTTCCTGCCCTCCCGCTGCTGCTGCTGCTGCTGCTGAGCTTGAGAAGGCCTTGTCATTGCACGGTCGCCGACCGCATTGGCTCTCCGGAATGCTCACTTATTGATGTTATTATGTTGTTGGCCTTTCCACGTAAGATTATTATTACGGTACTATTCCGAAGCCACCAAAACAGGAAAGAAGACGAACAACAAGAGGCATGTCTCCTCCCTGCACATAGTTTGATAGGTGGGAACCAAGTGTTTCACTACACTCGGAGGTTTACCGCTCTTGCCTTGCAGTTGATCTGCAACCATCCGTGACTCATCAGACCAAAAGGAAACCTCACAGACGGAGGAGGAGAGACGGATTTATAAGCCTCACACATCTGCCATATCGGGAGGATTATGGATCCACTGAATTGGACGTGTTTGTACCTACAGATTTATAAGTCCTTCGGATCTTTCTTACCCTCAAAAACAGTATCTTTTAGAGCTCAATGTGTTTTGATAAAATAAAATCGTATAGATATGCTCATCCGTCTAAAACGTATAATTTTTCACGAGCCCATCGTACCAATAATAATCATCGATTAAGTAAATTATCATATGGGACACATGGGGATCTATTTTATCTTCAGTTTTCTTTTCGGATATCATCTTGAAATATCACAGACGAAAAATGTTACAGGATTTGGGAGGGAAAGAAGGAAACACCACATTTGATTTTGTTGTGGGGAACAAATACACCAACAAAATTTGATATGAGAATTGCTGGCCTCAGTCAAAGTTCAACGCGTGATAATCCAGCACACGAAGACCATCACCCAGTCAATGATCGAGTCATTTGGATATTAGCCTAATGTAAAACATTCTCGAAATAATAATCTATTCATATTCTTAAAATACTTTGATATTGTTTCGTTATCAATTTACGTGCCGAAGAAGTCATATGGAGAAATCAATCCAACTTTGAACGCTCTTTGCACATGAGAGTTCCACACCATTCAGGACTACTTCAAATATCACCGGACGACTGTCAATGCAAGAGAACCAATTGCACAAAGCGATTCAGCTACAGGGAAAGCAAGTGTGTCACTTCAACTCTCTCTCTCTCTCTCTCTCTCTCTCTCTCTCTCTCATCTTCTATGTTTGTGATCGACAGTAAGGATGACCACAGCAGCAAACTATTCTTGTACCATATGCTGCTCATCTGTACCTTACTTCATCTATCTGACTCCCATTCTCAATTATATGCAAAAGAAGAATCCATCTTATAAGAGTATTCATTTTAATATTTAATGCAGGGAAGCTGAAACTCATTGAATTCACCAAAATATATGCCCTCTTCTTTTTCTTTTCTCCATTTCCTAATTTACTGTTACCTATCAGGAAATGTGAAAGAAGAGAAACAAAATGGCTGGATTGAAGCCAAGAAGCTATATCCTGATAGAGATACTCGATCATCCCCCACCTTGCAACTGTGGAAATCCATTCACAGTTACAAGTAGACTTTCTTTTGCTGCAAAATAAATGCTGTGCTGATGGATTAGAGATTGTTAGAACTGTAGAATCTCATTTGTGCAGCATTAGACTGTTAGATATCTGGAAAATTAACATTTTCCATATCACTGACCTTCCAATGCTCATCATATGATGCAATTTGATGCTTCAATTGAAAGAGGAAGAACTTCAAGAATCTTATCACAAGTTACTCCTCTTTGCACAACTGCTGATAGATTGATTATTAGGCAAATGTACTATGATTAATGATAACCTCCTGTCAAAACCCTAAACCATTAGTAAAACCTCAATAGTCCTTTACAAGAGCACAGAGAATTCAGAATTAAGATTACTGTCATACAAAAAGCTAATTGCAGTGTATGTCAGATATAACAAAGATAAAAAAGAGTGTTGTCCGAGTCTATCAACTTCGTTTGATCTAAATCATTAATCAAAATACTTAAACTGAAGTTAATAGTAGTACACTCATCAGAAAGGTCGATCTTAATCTTATACAAAGACAAAAGGAGCAATCATTTAGTCAATGATGCGTGATTTTGTCGACAATGATTAATGATGAGGAGTAGATATATAAAGAAAAATACTTATCCATCCACAGCTAAAACTAATATGCAGGCTTGCAGTCAGTCAACTCTCCTACAAGATCTCATGGGTTGCTCTTTGGAAGGAAGTACACAAGCAAGGCAAATAGAGTGCCCTATTTAGGGTGCTAACACCTCTGTCGTAATAAATACATGTTGGAAACAATACGGAAAAGTACTAAACATCTCACCACATTGCCATCGTATGGTGAGACCTCCAGTACTTGACACTATGCTGACTTCTTCTTCTTCTTCTTCTTCTTCTTCTTCTTCTTCTTCCTCCATCTAACCTGCTGTGCTCCGGGAGGATGCCTTGGCATCATCTCTGGACCAAATGTCAAGGCTTGAGGATGAGGGAGGAAACAAGGCGAGTGACAAGTTGCTGTCTACTTGCTCCTCTTCCCATGTCTTCGGCCGCTTCTCCTGCCGTGGTCCTGTATGCAGAGATAGAGCGAGATCAGGCTCGTGATCCCCGGCTTCCCGTCTCACCTGCCTCCGCTCTTCGATTCGGGTCCTGAAGTAGCAGCTCTCGGTCTCTCTCGGTTTATGTCCGGTGTGATCATGGAAGAGCTGCGTCTCGCTGCCTTTTCCGGTATCTTGATTGCTTGTTATCCTGCTTTTCTCTCCGAGGATCATCTCAGTATAAGATCCTGATCCCGTAGTCGCCATGGCCCTCGCGAGGATTTGGTTCGGCATCCAATATCTGTGGCTGCCCCAGGAAACATCATCTGGTCTGGAAAGAGACCGAAGCCAGAAGAAGTGAAGAGGGGTTTTGATTGGAAAGCTGTAATGGCAATAGTGTGACATGACTGGATCCCGAGGGTTTCATGTACCTTGATTTGCTGTTAGGCCTTTGATGGAAGGCATGCAACAGGGGGAGATGGCTGAGACTGTACGCGTGTGGCTGGCCGCCTTGCATCAGGTTCCTCGGATTTGCTATGGCAAAAGGAGAAGCAGCTATCATGAGTTGCAGCTGGTTGCAGAAACAAAACGAGATGTAGTGTGTGGTGTGGATGAGATTCAGATCGATACCGTGACCAGAATCTTCATTCTTGCTTCTGTACATCTGCCGTAAGCAGTAGAACCCAAACAAGGTTCAGTTGAGGTCAGGAAATGAGCGATCGAGAAGCAAGCAAGGAGAGTTAGATACCTGCAAGTGACTCTTGACGTGAGCTATGCTTAGTCCCTTTACATTCATCAGCTGGAGGACCAGCTTTGGTGTTGCTCCTGGATGCACACGAGAACAAGAATGCGTATCAGATATATATGTATGTTGCCATCATCTATCTTAGTGTGAAGAGGGTGATCGATCCGCTCACGGTCTTTGCCGCCGAGTCTCTCCACGGCATGGACGAAGCAAAGGTGTAGGTCAGGTGTCCATCGGAGCCTTGGGTTCTTGGATCTGACGTACTGACGCACGGCCACCTTGCGATCGTTCTCCTCCACCGTGCTGTTGCTAGAGCTCCCTCCGTTCCTGGGACTATCTTCACCGTCTTCCTCCACCATGTCCCTCTCCGAAGGGCTTGATCTCCTCGAGATCGCCGAACCAGAAGTTGCCATCACCGCCGGCGCCACCTCCTCCTCCTCTTCCTCCTCCTCCTCCTTCAAGGGATCACAACAAGGAATTCCAGGCTTCTTTGATGGACTTCGCTTTTGCCTCTGGCTCAGACTCGAAATTAAATGAACTGAGGGAATCAACCTGCTATAATTCCATCCTCTCTGGGACAGGTGGTGGGAAAGAAACAGATTAGAAGCTGCAAAAAACCTAACC